AGGGCTCACCCATGGTGGCTAGCGAGACAAGGCAGGGCAAGGGAGCAACCCATCGCTTCTGCGGTCGGGCCACCATTGTGACACGGCGACAGGGCTCCAATGCATAGACGACGCGGTAGGTAGAGCGAACGGCGGGACTGTCGCCACATCGGCCGAGCCACGACAGACGTAGCAGCACGGCACGGCGGTAGGACAACCAGGCGCAAGTGAACGGCGCGGTCCGATGGCTCGTGGTTGGCGGCCAGCGGCGTGCCCACCGTGGCCAGGCTACGACAGCAGCAACCGGCCACTGTGGCCACATGCGCGCATGCACGTGCGCCCAGCGCACCGACGCCGCGATGTCAGGGTTGGACGGCCTGGTGACCGCGTACGCCGACTGAGCTACTGCTAGCAGTGACTTGCATGACTTTTAAAGCTCCGACCAAAACCAAACCAGCTCGGTTGAGACCAAACCAATTTGCCAAGGCTCAAGAGGGTCCTAAAGGCAATCCCAAGGAGCATCAAACGCAAACTTAGATGAATTACCGAGAGAGATAGAGACATGCCAAAATAGGTTCGTCAGGCCAGGCGTCGATTCATGAATGGAGCACCAAAACCTGACTGCAGTGCGTTCTAGCGATGTTGGGGACATTCTTGCGACGCCACGACAATTTTAGCCCACTCGGGGACTGCACCCTACCCAAGTATTCACTTTGATGCTACCAACTATGCAAAAACATGAAGTTAGTATTTAGGCATTTTTTTGGAATTTAAATGTCAACATAACATTGTCTATTATCATTTTAGACTTCGGGAATTCAAAGGTTCGGTTAGAACTAACAACCTTTAGCGCTTTTGCCATAATTTTTAAAGGGTCTGAACCTTGCCGGTTTCAACTAACAATTGTACCATGACCTAGTCCATACTTCGTACTAACAGGTAGGAACAAGGTATTTAAGCACTATTTAACTATTTTGCTCAATATAATTCGCCAAAATGGTACTTTAAACATAAATTCAAGTGTTTGCCGACTTAACGAAAAGAGCTTATCTTAACGTCAAGTTATATTTTAGAGCTCCCAAAACACTAGTTAACAACTATTTTCCAAAAGTTAATGTTGCATTTCCATCTACTAAACTTGTACTTCAATTTTTTTTATTTAAGTACTAAATACAAGTTATGTTTTATTCTTGTTTATAGAAATTGTTTTTCGTGCCAAACAATTAAAACTACTTTTCCTATTTTCTTGTTAGGATTTTCATTAAAGCATTTAAGTAAACTAACTCACTATATTTATAGATCTACCTCTCAGGCCATAATCTTAGTGCTTAGCGAGCTCGTAACACCATAGGTGTTACATGTGAAGAACCTTATTGTCTATTTTGATCATGATAACAGCATGCCTGGCATAAACTGGGATGGCATAGTGGCAAACCCAATTGCTTCACTGCCCGAAGTAAATTGTCTATCTTAATCTTGCTGGAAACCTATTCTCATCCTTGTATGTTTCTTTGGATGCCTGCAAGAGGTGCTTCCTAGCTGGTTGTAGACCTATAATCTACCTAGATGGTTGCCACCTTAAGACTAAGCATGGAGAGATAATGCTCACTGCAATTGGAATTGATCCAAATGACTGCATTTATCCAATTGCATTTGGAGTTGTAGAAGTTGAGTCTCTGGCTACTTGGTAGTGGTTCTTAGAAACATTGAAGCAAGACCTAGGCATTGAAAACACATACCCATGGACTGTCATGACTAACAAACAGAAGGTACCAGCTTTTGCACATCTTCTTAACTTGCAGATGTAGTATTCATGCTAATCTGTTCTTGTCCATTTGTAGGGTCTAGTACCAGCTATTGCACGGTAGTTAGGTGGAATGAGAACATGGAGAAGATGAAGGTCCTTAACCAGAAAGCTTTTGAATGGCTAGAAAAGATGCCACCAAATACTTGGGTTAGGGCTTTCTTTAGCACTTTCTCCAAGTGTGATATTCTACTAAACAATAGTTGTGAGGTGTTCAATAAATACATACTAGATGCTAGAGAAATGCCTATCTTGAGCATGTTAGAGCAAGTGAAGACACAACTGATGATAAGGTATCATACAAACGACAAGGATGTGGGGACTGTGTGGGATGGTCCTATTTGCCCCAAGATAAGGAAGAAACTTCATAAGAATTCTTAGTGGGCAAACACCTGTTATGCACAACCTACTGGTAATGGCATTTTTTAGGTCAATGTGGTGGATAGACAATACACAGTGGACCTAGGCATTAGGCAGTGTAATTGTAGGAGGTGGGAGTTGACTGGTATCCCTTGCTCTCATGCTATATCTTATTTGAGGATAGAGAGAATTCCTCTTGAGTCCATGGTTCATGAGTGCTACTCTACTGCAACCTACCTGAAAACATATGGTACCAAGATTTATCCTTGCAAAGATAGGGGCATGTGGCAGAAAGTTCAAGGACCAAATGTACTTCCACCAGTCTATGAGAAAAAAGTTGGTAGGCCACCCAAGAACAGAAGGAAGCAACCTCATGAAGTCATGGGCAAGTTTGGTTCCAAAATGTCCAAGCATGGTACTGTGATTACTTGCTCTTATTGTGGAATAGAAGGGCATAACAGGGGTGGTTGTAAGCTGAGGAAGGCTGGGATCAGGCCTGAACAACATCCTGAAAGCAACCCAAATGTGGAGCACGGCCAAGGAGGAGGATCAACTGAGGGTTATGAAGAACCAGTTACCAGTTAGGTATGTCAAACTAATTATCATGTCAGTTCAATTTGTAATTCATACACTACTTTCATATCCCATAAATTTAGCAGGCTTCCATGCAGTTTGGAGAGGGGAGCCAACCACTACTATCACAAATGACAGGAACTTTGTTTTCTCAACTGTATGCAGACGTAAGTGCTCACAAACTTGGTCCACTTTCTCAAACTAAAATAAACACCACCTAACTTGTCATGCAATGTTCATAAACAAGCAAAAGGCAACTTCAGAAGGAACCATTGCCAGATTGCACATTCATCAGCACCAACCAACCAACTGTAAGGGCAATGCCCCCTACTACTGCAACCAAGGCAGGAAGAGCAAGGTTGAAGCGCAATGCACCTACTAGGCCATCTAATTAGGAAGGCAAGACCAAGAAGACCACAGCTACCAAGACAAGAAGGCTTGAAGACCTCTGAATGTGGTGTGATGCTTTTGTATAGGTCAATATCATCACTGGCCAATTTATGTGAACTTGTAAAGCAGCAACAAAATCGTCTTAGTTGATGCTTAGGATTATTTTGCTTCCTTTTGGTTCTTCTAGCCAGACAGGGAAGATAGATACATCTTTTGGTTCTTCCATATAAGCACAGGAAGATAGTAGTAAGTTAGTGGCTTACATCCAGGACTTGCAGGTCCTTAGGAAATGGTTGATGGACACATAATCTGTGACAATAAATTATGCTTTAATTTTATGGCCTATTTTCCATCTTGAGGAATTCACATTGTTTGATATGTGAACATCATTTTGTTGTACATGCATTACTGAAATTACTGACAGATGCATTGATAACATAATATATGGAGAGAGAGAGGCAGATGCAAACAGTGGGTTAGTTTTCCTTTTTAGCAGAACTTGAGGTGTCCTCTGCAAGATTGCCAACGTCCAAGAGTGGCAAAAATCCCACCAGAACCAAGCGACCGACACGTTAGCGCTGCCACGTCGACTAGATGCTGCACTGGACGGGAAATGGGCCTTCGATAAACAAGTTGACAAGTTCAGGGGCCAAATTTTCGAGTTTGCAAGTTCATGGACCAAAGTGGCACAGGCCGACAAGTTAAAAGGCCGCTAGTGTATTTAACTCCTTGAAATATAATGAATTCTATCTGTCCTATGGCGCTCTAAACCGCACTTATCTTACACAACTTGTACCGTATAGATGTAAAATTCTCTATGCGAATATAAAATTTACATGTTTGAAAAATTTTCAAGGGTGGATAGTTAATCTACCCACACCTAACTCAACCCGCCACCGTCCCTACACTTATGTCGGTGTTGTTGCTTATCTTAATAAGACTCTCTTGCTCCTGGCTTTGAGTCTTCCTCCTTTTGGAACTAGAAGGAAGTTGACTGTTCTTAGAATTCGAAGGAAGTTGACTGTTCTCCCTGCATTGAACCTACCCATATGGACCATATTACCTGTTGCCACCAATGCGTCAATTTCAGTAAACCGTGGGCTGTTGCCTTGTATTTTGATTCCCACCGCTCCAAATTGCGTGTCAATGGAAGTCCCAAAACCGTACTCGTCTAGCATGCAATCTTTCCGGTTTTCTTGAATACAAGAGAGAGAGAGAGCGAGAGAGAGAGAGAGAGAGAGGAACGGGAGCAGTCCTGTCCAATCAAACCAATCAGCAGCCGAAGCTAGCTTCCAGAGCAGCTGCGCTGAGCAAAGCCGAGTGGAGAATCAGTCCTCGTGTGGGCTCGACCGGTAGTAGCTCACATCCAACGTCATTCGTTGAACTCCTTGGTCATATCATATATTATATGATATTACACGTGCGCGTTTCACTTTCAAGTTTCAACGATCAGTCAGTCTCAGCCAGACAACCCGTGTGTACTACTACAGCCATTTGAAAGTTACACCTGGCTCTATCTCTTCCTTTTAGGCCAAGTCAGCAACAAAAAGCTGGTGGTTCAAATCAAAGTCTACCAAGAACATTTCAAAACCAGGGGATGTTCAGTAAGTGTCCACTAAACTCGGTACGTCACGTGTGTGTTTACGAAACTATTCTTTCAGTGAGTTTTCGAGCTGATTCGTTAGACACCGAAGTCCCTTGCAAGAACATTTATTTCCAAGTGAATCTTTCCTTTTATAGCAGTATCTAAAATCTCTCAGAAAAATGTTACAGATCCTATCGTGGAGAATGTTGATTACAGTATTGCAGCCATTGATTTCCAAAGAATGGTAGTAATAATCCTACACAACGTGTTCGTCAGTACGTGCATCGCAGATCTTCCTAGCACTGCTATCTATGATGGATAGGCCTGCCTGCCGCTCACGTACGTCGCCAGGACCTGCCCTGGCACACCGTTGGAGAATTCGTCCCACGATGTTGAGGGCAGCACCACAAAATCGGCGTATTTCCCTTCAGAAAGGCTGCCCACGGCATGGTCCAGGAAGCAGGCGTAGGCAGCAGACATCGTATGCCTGTGTGTTCGTCAGAGTGAGAGACCAATCCATTAGCAGGGGAAACGAGCTTGGCATTGCAATGACCGGAAAGAAACTTACGCTTTTAGTGATTCATCCAGGGTCAAGCGCTCTGCAGGGATCCAGGGGACCTCCCATCCAGGAGGCTTACGGAACATTGCAGTTCGGATAGCTTGCAAGGGGTTGATGTCTGAAACCTGAAAGACAGTGACAGTATACCTGGTAGCTGACTATATGGTAACTGAAAAACAGAGTTCGGTTTACTGAAATGTCTGTAGAATTACGTACAGGTCAGTCAGAACCAAAAGCTAGCTGTGCACCGCCATCTAACAGTGATCGGAATGTGTAGGAGCTTCGCTCAGCCCGTTCGACCCCAATCTTGTTTCCAGCAGAGTTGGCATCATCTAGTAGATGATCTGGCTGTCGATAATAAAGCAGATACTTCAGGAGCTGAAGATTGCAGTGCACAATCTGATTTGTGAAGCATAATATACCGAATATAAAGTAGGAATGGGACGGAATACTGGAATAGTTTACCTGCACGGATGCAATGATACCATGCTTCCCAAAGCGGTTTGCTGCACCTGGAGCCAGATGTTGGGCATGCTCAATCTGATTCCATACGCAAATATTCAATTCAAATTCTACTAAGCAGAGTGAGTTTGTTCTAAAACAAATAAATACTAAGCAGAGTGTGAGGGAAAGAAACAAATCTGAAGTAGCTATCAGAACATACCCGGAATCTACGGTCCTTCACTCCATTTAAATCAACAACCTTGTCAACCATATCCAGTAGCATGTCATTAGCTTTATCCCCAATTGCATGTATGGCAACCTGAAGAAAAAAACATTATTTTAAATTTCTAGAATGATGGTAGTTAAACTGAAGGATAGAGGGCATATCAAAAGGAAAAATGTCTACCTGGAGTCCAGATTTGTCAGATTCTAGTGTTCTATTAAGTAAGCTGTCGAAATCTATCACTTGCAGACCATAATTACCAGGATCACCCTCATAAGGCTGTAAAAATCCATTAAAAAACCTAAACAAATAAAATAAAAGTTTAAAGTCTACTACAACTACAAGAGGGAGGGATAAACTGTTTACATCATGGAACAATGCGCTTGAAGAACCCAGAGAACCATCAAGGAAAGCTTTAACACCACCTAGATGGATCCACTGACTTAACGATCGACCATGTTCATCAAAAAGATCCTAAAAGCAACAAATGTGTTATATTCACATAAAGTAAACAAATAACACAGAAGAGGTAGTCATGCTTCCAGAAGCAAACTTACGGAAACACGAGACCATGTGGGCATTGGGAAGAATAAGCATACTCTAATAACCATTTTTTCCATTGAGTGAGCCCATTTATAGATGTCTGTAGTGATATCAATACTTATGTCGGTATGCCAGGAGTCCAAAGAAGGTCATAGATAAAATAAGACAAATGAATCCTTCTAATTCTTGTCCATGCAATGCAAGCGTAGGTACTACAGAATACCTGCAAAATCTTGCCAAGTTTTCTCGGTTGAGGCCCCAGGGAAGTAACTTCCAACATCAACAACAGTAGTCACTCCCCTCATTAGGGCATGTTTACTTGCTCTAAGAAGAGCCTCTCTTCTTTCATGGTTAGAAACTTTTTCAATGACATCAAATATAAGCCTCATAGCAGTATCAACTAGAAGACCAGAAGGCTCTACAAGTAATAATAGAGGACAGATAATTTGGTCATTCCTAATCACAACATTCTTGAAAAAATAGCATGTGAATAAACTGATAGAAGGCATATTGAGTAGTTGAAGCAGAATCCCGTCTTTTTGGCGATGACAAGCATAAAAATTAAGTTACATTGGCTGGCCAAGACCCATGTTAATTAGTTGTGTTACCTCCTTCGGTTGTTCGTATTATAGTTCCACCAATTGGATCGTTTGTGTTTTTGTCAATCCCAGCAATCTTCATAGCTAATGAATTGGCTACTCCCATATGACCATCCATGCGAGAGAGCCAAACCTGCATTTGAAATAGTAAGTCACTTGCTATCCCTGTTATCATGGCTTCTCAAAAAAGGTCCAACGCACAAGTTTGAAAACACACTGGATTATCAGGTGATATATCATCCAACCAAGCAGCAGCAGGGAGTTCACCTCCCCAAAAATCATTGTTCCAACCTCCGCCCAAGATCCACTGCCCAGGATGCTTATCTGTTCGGAAAATAAGTCTGAGCAATATCGGTAGAAATCTTTGGCAATACTAACCCGTTAACTTGATGAAATAGAAGCAGTACACTAGAGAGGGTCTGAGCTTCAATGTAAATCTTTACTGACCCCATAGGGCGCCCGAAGACGTGTTGTATCGAACTTTTTCTCTACCTTAATACAAAGACGCGCAAACCTTTTGCGTGATCGAGAAAAAAAAAAAGCAGAGCATATTGCACAGTAGCTATTCAAACGTAGAAGTGGAAAACACCAAACAGAACATAACTCTGACAAAGAACCTACTCTTACTTATTTGATATAATTGCTCCACTGAATGGGATGTATTCATAACTGAATTTGAGCACAAGTAATCGAACCCGTCTTTGCATCACAGCAGCAGTTTGTCGCAGGAAAATGAACTGAACAAAAAAAAAGTACTAGCATTACCTCTGACAGCTTCTTTGACCCTGCCAATGAAGTCATCTTTGCTTCTGACCCCTCGAAGTGGCACCCTCGCTAGCTGCAGAGTATCAGAGAGTAGCATTAAAAAGCCAGCACATGCTGAGGAACAGTTTAGAAACTGCATCATTGCATTATATACACGTAATTTGTCGATCATGCCAATTGGAGTGCACCAATCACTAGCTAGTCTCAATCAAAAAATTACTAGCTAGTAGTACCTGCAATCCACCATCGATGAAGTGGACATGGGAGTCGATGAACCCCGGCAGCACCACGTTCCCACTGAGACTCAGCTCATGCGTGTGGCGACCCTTGAGCTCCTGCAAACACACACAGTACACAGGGCGGGCAGCAGCAGAGTATCAGCTCTGATTCACTAGAGAGATGGAGGGGAGGGGAGAGCGAAGCATCGACGGAGCGCGACCTTGACGGACTCGTAGGTGCCGACGCGGAGCACGCGGCCGCCGCGGACGGCCATGGCGTCGGCGAAGGGGCGGGCGGGGTCTGCGGTGTAGATGGTGGCGTTGGCCAGGACCATGTCGGCGAAGCGGTCCCGCGGCGCCGGCGGCGTCCCTGCAAATGCGAGGAGAGGCGGGCGGGTCAGCCTTTATCGCGCGCGACTGCGCGAGAGGGGAGCAGGAGAGAGGAGGCGCGGCGTAGCGTACATGGGAAGGGGAGGAGGACGGTGGCGGTGGCTATGGCGACGGCCGCCGCGACGAGAGCGCTCTGGGCGGCCAATGGAAATGGCATGATGGGAATTGGGATCCCTCCTCCCTCCTCCCTCTCCGAAATGAAACTGAGACCAAACCACCAACCAGTGGCGAAGCTAAGTTACGCGGTCGGGGTCGTCCGACCCCGACGACTCGGCGACCGATGCTGGTAGCGTGCGATTTTGGCCAGCAAAGACCCCGGCAAAAAAGAATGTATGACCCCGGTAAATCGCAGGCCTAGACACGGTGGCCAGCAGCCTAGCGTGGCAGGGCCCAGCCGGCCAACCTTGCAACACAGCTAGTACGCATTTACGCAGGCCGCCAGTGCCAAGGGCAAAAGGAAAGCCCAGCCCAGTAGGCAATAGTCCGTTCGTGCCTTCGTACGTGGACGTGCAGCACCAGCATATCGCTCGTCGTTCTCATCCTGGGCTCCTGGCAACTACTGCAAGGAGGCTTCGTCACTCTACCAAGCACCTAGCTAGATAGGGTAACCCAAAAGGCCAAATCCCAATTCTTCAACTGCAATTGACGAAGAAAGATCCTATGTTCAATTGACGAAGAAGGATCCTATTCAAGATTTGTAGAGTTCACCGGTTCCCAATTTGTTCCTTATGTTTCAGAAGAAGTCATCAAATTTCTTTTGTTGATGTTTAGAGTTCCCTAATCCCCAACTGATAAATAAGGATACATTTACCTTTTTTTGTTTTTTTTCAGTTATAAAACTTATATAGAATAGAAGCAAACACCAAACAACATCACATCATATTACAGCTTAGTCTCAATAATACAGCTTAAGGTTTTTAATTCCATGACATCCAAACAGCGGCATTCGGAGTTAGCAATTCCAATTCCGAATTCTGAGTCTCAATACCTACTTTCAAACGCAACCTAAAGGTTTTTAATAATGAAAACAAAACCGACTTCATCTCTTGTGCTTAAGGAAATCACCTAGAGCAAAACTGATAATACAGCTTTAGTTCCCTTCTCTCTCCTCTATCTCAACATATAGCTCACCTACAACCCTTTTATTTTACTTGCTCTTAGTATCGTTGCTTTCAATCCTAAGAAAAATTCTTTTGTGATAACAAAATTTAGAGTTTAATAGAGTTGGCTAAGTCATATCGTACTGTTGATTTCAATTTAACACAAGTTAAGGATCTTGGACATGAAAATAATATTTATATTAATAATATGCAAGCTTATAAATTATTATCCATAATATTATATTGTTGAATATCATTAATATGTCTATAGTATTATATTATCACAAATTAAAAGTTAGCACAGTGTATTTTGGTCGACCCCAACATCATTTTATCCTGGCTTCGCCACTGCCACCAACCAAACGGCGTGGCTGTTCTAGGTCCGTTCAAATACTGTACTTGGCAGTATACTAGTACTTGGCAAAAACAATCAGTCCGTGTTTAGTTCCGGCCGGATTCGGCGCCGCTGAATTCTGTAGTGCACTGTAGCGTTTTGTTTTTATTGGGTAATAATTGCCTAATCGTTGACTAATTAGGCTCAAAACGTTCGTCTCGCAAAGTACAACTAAACTATGCAATTAGTTTTTGATTTCGTCAATATTTAGTACTCCATGCATGTACCATAAGTTTATGTGACGAAAAATCTTCTTTTTTTATAATGCCAAATTCAGAAATTTAGGTAACTAAACATGGCCTCGGCTGTCGTGACTGTGAACTCTGAAAAAACAACCTTAAAATAAAGCAGGAAGGGTTTGTCGGGATCGAACTGGAAAATGAAACAACATTATCACAGAATATATGAATATACTATTTGGTCCAATGAGGAGAAATTTATTCAAAGTCCTACTGGCATGGCGTGTCAGTGTTCATGTCACTGCTTTGTGCTCGTGCCTACTTTTTTTTTGGAAAATTTGCTCTTGCCTACTTGCACTGGCGATGGAGACGCAACAGGTATAGACAACTTGCTTGAGGAGTCGACCATGGTTTTTGCCTTTATGGAGGCATTTGGTTGATCGACGATCTTCAATTGTTCTATTGGATTGGATGAATACTATGCGAAAATTTCACAAATCATTCTTTTTTAAAAGGTAGTGCTAGCGTTCGGACGGACGCCCGCGCAGTGCACTCCGTTTCACGCGCATCACGCAGGGCCCACGCCGCCCGAGCGACTAAGAGGGGGAGGGGTGTGGCGCCTCCGATTCAAAAGGACCCGGCCGTGGCGTCATATGGATGCCCTGCCGATGCCGAGAGGAGGACACACCGAGACAATGCAGCAGAAGGTGGGGAGGAGACATGCAACACCCGATCTACTTTTAAAACATCCAAATACAACAGTTGCAACATATCGTCATGTTCGCTTGGCTTATAAGCCGTAATTTTTCAGCCAACGAACAATATTTTTCTCTCATAACAAATCAGCCAACAATACTTTCAGTCATAGCTTATCAGCCAAGCGAACAGGGCATATGTCTGAAGGCAGTTGAGACACTTAAAACATGCTTCTGAAACACTTTGAAAAAACTTGAAAACACTTGAAAACCATTACAACCATACACAACATCCAAATAAAACACATGCAACGTATGTGTGAAACATATGCAACATCCAGATAAACACACTTACAACACGCGTCCGGAAAATACAGATGAAACATACCTCTAAAACATCCGAAACATTCAAAACATACTCTCGCAACATGTCTCTGAAACAATTACAACATATGCAATATATGCAACATTCCCCGATCTACTTTTGTAACTTTCATATGAAACAAATGCAACATACATCTGAAACGCCTGAAACACATGAAACATACATATGCAACATAGGAAAGGGGAAGGTTGGGCCGGTCGATTCCGGTCGTCAAGGTCGGAGACAGTGGCTACATGCGAGCACCAGCGCGGCCATCGCCACCGGTACCGGGCTTTGCTCAGCGCCGCTGGGGTGGGGGGAGCTCGGTCATCGGGGGGAGAGAGGGCACCGCCGAGGGTGGAGAGGGCGCAGTGCCGGGGTGGGGAAGAGCCGCCCACTCCCTGCAACACCGCCGCACCACCTCCATGGATCTCGCTCGTGCTCCATGGATCTCGCCAGGGTAGGGGAGAGGGCCACCGGATCCGCGGGCATTGGACGCTCCCTATGGGTGAGGACGCCGGGGTGGGGGGAAGAGCCGCCGGGGTGGGAGAGGAGGACGCCGGGGTAGGAAAGGACGCACGCCAGGGTGGGTGAGAGCACTGCTGCCGGCCATGGAGGCAACCATGGCCGCGCGTCGGGGTGGGGTGGGGCACGAGCGCAAAAGGGGAGGAGGAAGCGAGGGATTGGGTGTGCATGAGTGAGCAGAGTGAGGCGTTCGTCTGTCCGGACGTCTTAATTGGAGCATTATCGTTTTTTAATGAAAAAAATCTGTTTCTTTTCACATGAAACAGAATAAAATCCACGTAGTAGACTTTAGCGCTAAAACAATCGTTTTCCTTGGGTTATTCATCCACCCACACCCAACCACGTCCATGTGGCTCTGGCACAAGTCACAATAAAGATTCAGGGTAGTGTTACTACCTACTCGTACGGGTATAACCCAACAAACTCAAGTCTCCAACCAAGAAAAGAATGGCTTCATAGACCATGCTTTGCGTCAGGAGCCAAAAATTAATAAGATGAACCATGTTATTGACAATCCACTAGTTGAGGGCATATACCTCCCGTTTTGGAATGAAAGCAAGCTAAAGTTAACCTCCATGTTCTATCTAGACATTACTAATAGTCTATCTCTTAAAACTGCATATATGGTAGTCTTGTATTATTGGTAATGCATCTCCTCAAAATATATTACCAAAATCTCTCAGTATATACACCACCTTTGAGTAAATCAATTTCTATAGTTATCTAAGTCAAACTTTTTTTATATTTGACTAAATTTATAGAAAAATATATATTATATGGTGTATTTAATAATACTAATTTAATGTCATAAATCTTGGCAATCTTTTCTATAAATTCGTTCGAATTTAAAAAAGTTTATATTAAGACAACTCTAGAATTGATTTACTGGGAATGGAGGAAGTATTTTTTTTTCTTTCATCTCTCTTCCTCTGCATATACACACTCTATAAATTCATTCAAATTAAGAAAGTTTATATTAAGACAACTCTAAAATTGATTTACTGGGAACTGAGGAAGCATGGGCCGATGCAGCATGAGAAACGGCTTGCCCTTCGTATCCTCCTTGTTCTTGTGCATCTCCTGTGCAATGTTCGTTGATGTAATAAATTGGGCGAGCATTAGTAAGAAAGATGCCATCAGCAAATAAGTGCGATCAAGAATAGCAGCGGTATCCATAGTTCCATACGCATAATCTACTGTTTGGTGAGTGCTGGTGTCATAGAATGAAGGAATGGTGGAGCTCCCCTCACTACTGTATATGGGACGCATAAACATGCACCCTGGACTCCTGGAGCGATCAACAAGTAAAATGAACAGAGTAAGAGCATCTCCAAAGTTTTTAAAACTCACTTCCAATCTATTTTTTTTGGCAAAAACTGTTCTCCAACAACTTTCTATCTCAACTCCCGATCTGTCCGCACTCGGTAAACTCGACCTAATTGTACGGATAATGGGGATGTTTGGTTCCTGCATATCCTTCTAGCCAGGCTCCGCAAAGCCAACTTCGACTTGTTTGGTTGGTCGAATATGTCTTCTAGGCAGGCTCCAGCTAGCCACCGGTGACCTCTCTAGCCTGGCTAGCCACCGACAGGTTTCTGATGCAAATATATAGGAGAGAAAGAAAATATAAAAGTGATTAGGATGACTTAGAAATATTCTAGGATTTCTGATATAAAATTGACTTCTATATTTTAGGATCGAGATTTTGAAAATTGTTGGAGGAACACAATAAATATGCTCCCAACTCTTTAGCCGTTTGGAAAACTCATTAATTACCATTTTTTTAGAAACTATTGGAGATGCTCTATAATCAAGTTCATGCTCACCTGTGCACCCCCGGTCTTTTATGGACATCCTTGCAAACTCTAGAAATTTTGAAAAGGAATGATCTGGGATCCTACCAGATTTAATTTTACAAGCAGAACAAATGTACAATATATTTAGACGCTATCCCCTTTAGTTTCCCCAAGGGCATCACACCAAATCTGATCAAGTTTTAGATCACTCCTCTTCATATTTGTCAAATTTATGTAAAGTGTATCATTTAGGCAATGTTGCATCAAAGTGAGGCTGTCAGTGTATGCTGTTAGCAAGTTGCTGGCCTCTTAGTACCAGCGGCCTCAAGTCAGTTTGAAAATTGCATTTGCCACTCTTGAGAATTATGTGATATTTTTAATCTAAATAATCATGCCAGATTAGTATGGCAATGCAAATGTGATTTCAAAGTTCATACTAATCTGGCATTTTACATGTCTGTCTGTTATGGTAGTTCCTCTTCAACCGCAGCCGATGAAGCGGTGGCCGCCAAGTTGTGATGCATAGGACCATGCAGAGCGGGGCGGGGGAGCTGAGCCGCCCAACGCCGGTGCTGCTCGCTCTCTCGCACATGGCACGTGCCTTGCGTGGCGGCCGTCTCCTGAAGAGCGACAGGACGAAGCCCCAGTGTCGTTCATCCGTCCAGGGGCGAAGCCAACTCTAAATTCATGGTGGTGCAAGGCCAAGGAGACATACATTAATCTGGAAGCAATACATGGTGAAAAATTATGTAGTTTGCGGTAAAAAGATTTTTTACCCTGGTGCATGGACACCAGGCAAGATCAACCTGGCTTCGCCCCTGCGTCCGTCCACTTCCTCATACCGAGTTCACGTTCACTACCGGAAAGGACCGGTTCCGGCGAGAAGCCATGCGAGGACTCGGAGGTCACCGGTGGTGGCGTGACGGAGCACCGCCGGAGCGGGGCGGTGCGCGTGGCTGGATGGGACGGGGAGATGCGGCGCCGGGCATGGCGAGACGTGGAGGGGCGGGGTTTGAAAAAAACGTTCGTTTCCAAAAAAAAAAACGTGCCTTTTATATAGGAGTATAAAGACTCTGTGTTTGTAACTAGTTCTAGTTCATATGGTACACGTGTTTGGTCAAGAAAAAAAAAAACAAGATATAAGAGCATCTCCGAGAATTCCCTACTTTTTTCTCCTAAAAACTTGTAGTTTAGCAACTCTTAAAAAGATTTGAGGAGGAAAAAAGAATGTCATCTCCAAGAGTTTCTAATAAATGACATTAAAAAATCAAATTTGATAATTATCATCGTCTTCTTCCTCCGAGAACCACGTACACAGAAGCAAGGCGGACGGGCGGTACCAAAGTGGAGCGGTCGGCCATCCACGAGAGAAGCAAAGACGCACACCGGTGCAACAACATCTGATGCGAGCGGTGGCTGGCAGCACGTGAGGGCGACAAGCGAGCGATGATCCATCCAAATACGATGCGCAGACGCGAAAGCACGGCGAAGCGAAAGCAGAGCTCCAATGGCGGCCGCGCTGCGTGCGCGGCGGCGAAAGCAGCACCCAGCAGGCGGCGCAGGTGAGCTCCCCGGCGGCGCAAGAGCACAGCTCCAACGCGAGTGATCCAAATGCGACGGTCGCGCAGCAGCGAAGCGAAAGCGAGCTCCAGCGAGATGATCGAGCTCCAAATGAAGTGATCCAATCCAGCGGCGGCGATGCGCGAAAGCACGGCGAGCGAAAGCGAGCTCAAAGACGGCGCGCGCGGCGCGCGGCGTGGCGGCGGCAGCGAGCACAGCACGGCCCAACGCGAAAGTGATCTAGGCGACGCGGCGACGCTCAACACGCAGCGATCGAAGAGCGAGCGGGTGATGCGGCGGCGCAGCGCGAGCGCGAGTAGCTCAGCACCAATAGCGACAAGCGAAGTAGAAACACCAGTAGCGGCGGCGAGCGAAGCTCCCGGTGGCGCGCGAGCACATCTCCAACGCGAGTGATCCAGCGCGGCCGGTACGCGGGCATGGCGTGCGAGCAAAGGTCTAGTGTGGCCGGTACGCGAGCGTGGCGAGCGAGCAGAGCACCAGCGCGGCGGCGCAGGCGAGCTCCCCTGGCGGCGCGCGAGCACATCTCCAACGAGGCAACGCGGTGGCGGCCTGCGAGCGCACGTAGGGAGAAGGATCCGCACGACTCGAGAGCCGCGTAAAGTTACGCGGAACTGGCTCAGTTTTTCCAAGTACCTAAATATTAGGAGGACGAAGCCATACTCAGGATCCTCATCGAAACAATCATGGACGGTTCGCGACGCCGCCGCCAACTCGAGCGGCAGAGGGAGAGGCAGCTGGCCAGTTCCAGCTTCAACACCTCCCACCCGATCTGCTGCCCGAGATCCACCACCGCCTCGCCTTCCTCACGCGCCTCGCCTCCGCCTCTGTCTGCAGCGCGTCGGGGCACCACTTGAAGCCGGAGACGCCGTGGCTCATCCTCCCCGCAGAGAACGAGGACAGGGCCAGGGTCCTGTCCCTGGCCGATGAGGAGAACACCACCGTGCGCACCTCGGACGTCGCCATGCGCAGCCACGTCCCCATCGGCTCCTCGGGCGGGTGGCTCGTGACGGCTGACGATAGGGGCGCCCTGCGCATGGCCAACCGGACCACGGCGCGCATGCCGACTTGCCGGCCACCACCACCGTCCCATTCATCCACCCGGTCTCCGGCGGCCACTAGTTCTGCATCCACATGGATCCCTTCCTACAGGTCCGCTTCGGAGGCCAACCCCCACCCCCACCGGCGCCGGGACACAAATACGACTATCGGACGGACGGCGACGGCGAGGAGCCGAGGACATACACTCTCACGGCCACCCAGATGCGGCAGGTCTTCTACCGCAAGGTCATCCTCTCGGCGTCGCCGTGCCCGAACAGCTACGCCGCCATGCTCATCATGGACCGGTGCACCGGCACCCCATCCTTCACGGCGGCTGAAGGACCTCTCGTGGAGGATGGCGCGCTCCCCCGACGCCGTCAAGGATGCCATACACCACAACGGACGCTTCTTGTCTATCACCTACACGGGCGGTTCATGGCCGTGCTCAAGCACGCTAGGGATGATAAAAGTGACGATCGCTACTCTAGGGACACGCGCACGCGCATTTTCTTCGAGGTCCAGATACTAGACCGCGTCAAGGAACGGTGGGAGGAGGCGGCGGACATCGGCGACACCGCGCTCTTCGTCGGCGTCAACGGGTCGCTGTGCCTGTCGACGAGGGAGCACCAGGGCATCAGGCCCGGCTGCGTCTACTTCACTGACGATGAGGTCGGGGTGGCCTGCCTACGCAAGGCCAACAACCAGCAGAGATCCAATTCCTACGGCGAAGCCGACGACACCATGATGGATAATTCTCTGTGTTGTGTTGGCTAGTCTGGTCTTTGTGGGACTGCTAGCTGTTGTTGTACTGCTTCCACAAGGACTGTGGGGTTGCTGGCTGTTGCTGTGCTGCCACAAGGACTGTTGGCTGCTGCTGCCATAAGGACAGCATCCTTGATTGGCTAGGACAACATCTTAGTATCTAGGATAACATCTTAGACTAGCATCTAGAGGACAGCATCTTAGCATCTTAGACTAGCATCTTAGACTAGCATCTTGGTATATGCTTGGCTGGCTAGCAGCCTATAAATATGTATCCCCAACCTCTTAGGTTGGCATGGCATTTGTGTGAGTTTGTGTGAGAAATAAACCAGAAAATTGCTCCAATTCCTAGTGTCATCCTCTCTCGATGAGAGTAAGAATTCTGCTACTACCGAGAGTGAGAGTTCAACGACTAACAACTGGTATCAGAGCCATACTATCCTATAGCCTGAGCATCTCCTGCTCATCTCCCCTCCTAGCCCCTACAATGCCCCTAGTTTGTTGGCGGCAGCTAAACTCCTCCACCCCGCCACTCCTCCTCCCTCTCCCTCTGCCTGAGCAAGCAGCTCGTCTAAAGCAGCCCTCTCCCCACGCAGCAGCCCCAGTGGCGCGTCATGTCCGTAGGCGATCTCAACGCTTCGTCGCCCTCGAGCACGCCAAGCGTTGGCGAGAGGCAACTTGCCGCGGCAGAGAATGCGAAGCGGCGGCGCAGCAGACCTTCTGCCATGGCGGCGGCAAGGCGTCGAGGTCGGCGGCGGGCGGAGCGGGCAACAGCCAGCGCAGGCGGAGGCGGCGTGTCGGCGAATGTAGCGCGTGCGGCGGCAGCGGAGGTCGAGGCTCTACGCGGCAACATCGGCAGCTCCATTTCCACTGATGACACCGCCGACGTGGACCTCGAGCTGCTAGAGAGGGAGGCAGCGCGAGCACGGGCGGCGCAGTGGGCAGCCGCACACGCCCACGAGCGTGGCGGCAGCCCAGACAGGCGCGGACGCGCTGGCGGCGCTCCTGGAGGAGGCGCGCATGGCGGTGGCGCTCCTGGGGCAGCCGCGCATGCCCACGAGCGCGGCGGCAGCCCAGACAGGAGCGGATGCGCCGGCGGCGCTCCTGGTGGAGGCGCGTACGGCGGCGGCGCTCCTAGAGGAGGCGCGCACAGCAACGGTGGCGGACGGGTCGATGGAGAGCGTGACCTTCACAGGCAGCGTGGCTCTCTCTCCCCGGATCGGTACCGATGGGTCGACGGAGAGCACGACCTTCACAGGCAGCGTGGCTCTCTCTCCCCGGATCGGTACCGTGGTTACCATGGGCTCCAGGCTATTGTCGGGGCGTCGGTCCCGGCGGTGGGTGGCCTACCCTCACCAAGACCAACTACGTTGAGTGGGCTACGGTGATGAGGGTAAAGCTCCAGGTGCGGCACATGTGGGAGGCAGTCCGGTACGGCGACGTCGACTACGACCTAGATTGACGGGCACTAGATGCCCTCATCGCTGCAGTCCCGCCCAAGATGCAGTTCTCGCTTACCAACAAGCGGACTGCCAAGGAGGCTTGGGATGCCATCGCTGCGACACGCATCGGCAGCGACCGCGCCCGCAAGTCCACACTGCAGGCACTTCGCAAGGAGTGGGAGAACCAGGCCTTCAAGCCAGGTGAGGACGTTGATGACTTTGCTCTCCGTCTCAACACTCTGTTGCAGAAGATGGTGCAATTCGGCGATGACACCTACGGCAAGGAGAGAGCTGTCGAAAAGCTCTTTCGCTGCGTCCCCGAGAAGTATATGCAGATGGCTCGCTCGATCGAGTCCCTGCTGGATCTCTCCACGATGTTGATCGAGGAGGTGATAGGTCACCTCAAGGTCGTCGACAGCGATGAGCCACAGTCTCTCTCGGGGCCCATCACCACTGGCGGGAAGCTTCTTCTCACTCGGGAGTAGTGGCTTGCCAGCCAAGGTGACCGGAAGAAGGGGGAGCCTTCTTCCATGACAGGCGGTCGCAAGCGTGGCAAGCCACGTAAGGCACGTAGAGACGCCCAGGCTAGGGCGCGAGGACGTGCCGAGGGTGATGCCCGCGAGGCGCCAGGCGGCGCCATCGCGGCAGCACAAGCCGCACGACGAGGCGGCGCTTTCCGCAATCAGCGCCCGGCTTGGCCATTGGGCCAAGGATCGCCGACCACGACGACGGCAGCTAGGCCCACGTCGCATAGGTGGAGGAGGAGGAGCCGGCTCTGTTCATGGCACATGCAAGCATCGAGCTACCTCCAGCGGCACCGGCCGCAGCGGCTCTCCTCCACCTTGACGAGCCAAAACCACACGCCCTCCTCGGCGATAGCTCCGGCAATGACAAGACTGACGGGTGGTGCCTCGACACCGGCGCCACCCATCACATGACCGGTCGACAGGAGTTCTTCACCGAGCTTGACTTCTAGCGTCCGAGGCTCCGTCAAGTTTGGGGATGCCTCCGGCGTGGAGATCAAGGGCGTCGGCTCCATCATCTTCACCGTCGTGTTTGGTGAGCATAGACTGCTCACCGGAGTCTACTACATCCCCGCGTTGAGGAACTCCATCATCAGCTTGGGACAGCTGGATGAGAACGGTTTGCACGTGGTGGTTGAGGATGGAGTCATGAGGATTTGGGATCATCGTTGTCGCCTTCTTGCCAAGGTATCCAGAAGCGCAAATCGACTCTACGTCCTTAATGTGCAGGTGGCACAACTCCTCTGTCTCGCTGCTCGTCGGGACGACGAGGCATGGCAGTGGCATGAGTGCTTCGGGCACCTTCACTTTGAGGCCCTGAAGCGGCTCAGTGCCACGGAGATGGTGCGAGGCCTGCCGTGCCTCGACCATGTGGAGCAGCTCTACGATGTCTACGTGTTGACAAAGCAGAGGCGACTCCCCTTTCCCCAGTGGGCGAGCTTTCGAGCCAAGGAGAGGCTCGAGCTTGTGCACGGGGACTTGTGTGGCCCGGTGACACCGGCCACACCGGGAGGACGACGATACTTCCTGCTACTCGTCGATGACCTCTCCCGCTACATGTGGGTGATGGTCCTCGGTAGCAAGGGAGAGGCTGCGGACGCCATCAGGCGCGCGTAGGCTGCTGCGGAGGCGGAGTGCGGCCGCAAGCTACGCATGCTGCGCACCGACAACGGCGGCGAATTCACGGCGGCTGAATTCGCATCGTACTGCGCTGATGAGGGCATTCAGCGCCACTACTCCACACCGTATAGCCTGCAGCAGAACGGCGTCGTCGAGCAGCGTAACTAGACGGTTGTGGGGATGGCTTGGGCCCTCCTCAAGCAGAGGGGGATGCCGGCTGTCTTCTAGGGAGAGGCGGTGGTGACGACCGTCTACATCCTCAACCGCTCACCTACCAAGGTGCTCGATGGCAGGACACCGTACGAGGCTTGGCATGGGCGCAAGCCGGCGGTCTCCCACTTGCGGGTCTTCGGCTGCCTCGCGTTCGCCAAGGAGCTTGGCCACATCAGCAAGCTCGACGATAGGAGCACTCCGGGAGTGTTCATCGGCTACGTGGAGGGCTCGAAGGCCTACCGCATCCTTGACCCGAAGACACAGCGTGTGCGCACGGCGCGCGACGTTGTGTTCGACGAAGGGCGAGGATGGGCGTGGGACAAGGCGGTGGACGATGGCTCGGCTCCGACATACGACGACTTCACTGTCGAGTACGTCCACTTCAAGGGAGCTAGGGGAGTAGGCAGCTCTTCTTCGGCGAGCGCGTCTACCCCAGTCCCCGAGCCTCCACCGACCTCGGCGCCTGCTACTCCGATAGCACCACGCTCTCCAGCCAGCACCTCGACTGCGATGAGTTCTTCGCTGGCTCCACCACAGCCGGCAACGCCATGCACTCCAACACCGACAGGCACCACTCCGGGCACGTCTACCCCACCACCAGCTCGTGTTGAGCATGGTCCGGTTGAGCTCGCTACTCCGCTCTCTCACGACGAGGAGCGCATCGATGCGTACCACGATGGCGAGCCGTTGCGGTACCGTACGCTGGAGAACCATCTCGGTGACCAGCCGGTGCCGAGACCGGTGCCTCATGACCTAGAGGCGTAGTTGCACCTTGCGTGTGACGACGATGAACCTCGATCGTTTGCAGAGGCCGAGAGACACGCGGCATGGCACGCCGCGATGTAGTTGGAGATGGATGCGGTTGAGAAGAACCACACCTGGGAGCTTGCTGACCTTCCTCGTGGTCACCGCGCGATCACCCTTAAGTGGGTGTACAAGCTGAAGAGGGATGAAGCCGGTGCCATCATCAACTACAAGGCTCGCTTGGTGGCACGAGGCTTCGTGCAGCAGGAGGGGTCGACTTCGATGACGCCTTTGCTCCCATGGCACAGATGGAGTCTGTGCAACTCCTCCTTGCGCTAGCTGCCCAGGAGGGCTGGCGTGTTCATCACATGGACGTCAAGTCGGCGTTCCTTAACGGCGACTTGAAGGAGGAGGTCTACGTGCACCAGCCGCCAGGATTTGCGATCCCCAAGAAGAGGGCAAGGTGCTCCACTGTGGCAGAACCGCCTAATTTAATGCCTCACAGGAGTGCTTGTCTTCCATTAGACACTAAGCACTCGAGGGAGAACACTAAATTACTCAATTCCGTCGAGCACACCCCAGGGGAGAACCCAAAAATCCACATTTTTGCCATCAGGATCACAAATGAGAGAATAAAGCTTACATCATTCGTAACCATTTCTTACATCACTTTTAATACAACATCAGAGTATAATATTTATTAATATGACAGCGGAATGAAATCATATTATCAGAGTTATAAACAATTTACTTGAACAGCGGAATAGAAATATGTGAATAGAGTTACAGCGGAAATAAATATCTAAACATGACATGAGAAAGTATTGACATATAGACTACGACAACATATTATTAAACTTCCATTTATAAAAGCATTTGGTGAGAGTTATAAATAAAAACTACGATCGCATCGTAAAGGAAATCTTCTCTGAGCCCACCAGGAGGAATCCACACATAAGAGTCAGCTTAAGCCTCCACATGTTACCTGCAACAGGGGGAATAAAACCCTGAGTACTCAATTGTACTCAGCAAGACTTACCCGACAGGAGAAAAGAAAAGACTCCAAGGATATGCAAGGTTATCTGGCTTGTGGGTTGCATTTGCAGGAAGCATTACTAAGCGTGAGTCCTTATACTCGATTTTCATTAATAGCCGCATTGGTTCAATAACTAACCATTCTATGTAAACACCTATGCTACTTTCAAGCAGGTGGTAAGCAATCAGATTACCTTTGTCCGTCTTTCATCTTCCATCTTTCAGTTCTTACTACGATGCTAAACCGTAGACAAGCCGTACCGGATAGCCCGGCGATTCACGAATCAATGCCCCCAGCTGGGTACCCCGAAAACACACGCCCCGCTTGTACCCCAGGCACAAGCAGGACCAACCCATCACTCTCCTGTCCCGGGTGTCCAGGTCCTCATCTAAACTGGGACTCCAAGCCCCCGCCCCTGAGTCCCGGACTCAGTGCGGTGGAAGGACCTCCTCCACCAAAATAAAACCCTGACAGTCGGTTCGAAAAGAGCCGGATCCGCGACAAGAGAGCAACAAGTCTTCCAAGCGCCCATACACAAGTATGTGCTCGGGATAATAAGTCTGTGACCTTCCTAGAGTCATATGCAACGATTGGTCCTTAACCGACTAGACAGGGAAAAACGGTGTAACCAAGCTATGACCCGCCTCCGTGGCGACACAACTTTTACACCCACCAATACCCAAACCATATCCCTACCCGGTCACCATTTTCCTTTCCACCATTTTATATATTCCAGGTGATAATCATATAGTAACATATTTCATGTATCTCGCGAGTGACAGACAATCACTCGACTTCTACCGGAGTCCTGTAGCATAGCAATCTACACGATCCTGTCATACTAGTAAGACTCATAGGATAAAGATATATATGCAAGTGGGCTTCATTCAACTCCTTGAAACTTAATGCACAAATATAATTTAAACTGCAGAAGGTAGGGGTTATGCACCGGGGCTTGCCTGGGTAAGATATATTAAAAAGTTAGTAGCTGTATCTTCAGATCATCCGAATAGAAAACCCCTCGCATCATCTCCTGGAGAGAATACCAATACACCATCTTCGGATTCCCAATCATCCTTCGATAGGACAGCTGATCCATCATCGTACCTATATGACATGCATGAGATGCAATGCAAAAATGTAATTAGGCAACTGTAACCGTGACTCGTAAAATACGACGTACGCTGCTCGAGTTAACGGGCTAGTTCTAACGACGACCGTACTTAGGTTACATATCCATGTTATCGAATAAGACATTATTTCTCAACAATTATTTTAGTTATATAAACCCAAGTTGTTTCTTTATTTCATTATATCGATTTAATCGTTATTCGAAATAGAGCATCATCATCTACCTAGCAAACTAATTATTATTTAGCTACAAAAATTATAGTAAATACCTAATATTGCTAGGAACATACTATAAAAATTTAAGATCCAATACTATTACCAATTTATCACGAAAGTTCCTACAAGTTTGTATTTTACAATATTAAGTATCTAAGATTTAATTATATAGCTCCCAAAAATATTATCAAACTATGTAAAAAAAATGTACTAATCGGTAGATCATGATTTTAGGGACTCAACAGAACTGGTTTCACTATTTTTGGATTCTTATACCATAGTATATTGATTTTACAAGTTTCAGCCATTTTAAACAAAAACTACAAAAAGACTGGCACCTGGGCCAACCACGGCCAGCGCGGCCCACGCGGGCGACCACGAGGCCCAGGCACCCGCAGCGCAACCGGCCAGGCCAGCGATCGGGCGGCCCAGCCAGGCGGAGTGCGCTGGCGGCCCAGCAGCGGGGAGCGGGCAGTGGCCCAGGTGGGCGCACACAGAGCGGCCCGGTAACGGCGCTAACCGCGCTAGCGGTCCAGGCCCACAGCGCATGGCCCAAACATCAGACGCAGCCCAGCCCAACGCGGTTAGGGCACGGTGACGACGGCATATAAGCGAAACGACCCCTATGCTTATCTCAATTCGACCCTAGGTCCATAATACTGTTCAAATGGGTCATGTAATTCGCAAAAACACTCTCGTAAAGACTATTTCCTTGGATTCTTACCCCTGCCTTCATCCGCCAACGCAGAGCAAGCACTAAACACCAATCGCTGGCCACGGAAGCAAGCATCCAGGCGTGTGGCCGGCGGTCGCGGCCACGGCGCAGCAAGCACCACGGCACCGGCGGCCAAGGCGTGCTCACGCGCGGCTGAGGTGCACGCGCACGGGCGAGATGGTGACGTTGCGGAGCGGACGCGCGAGACAGTAGCGGGGTGCTGTGGCCGGACGGTGACGGGATGCTATGGTCGGACGGCCCTGCGTTGGAGGCGGAGGACAGCGTGGCGGAACAGCGAGGCCGGCGTGGGATCAAGGACGTGCACGGACGGCGGCGTAGGGAGGACTGGTTCCAGCGCGGTGGTGGCTTCACGCGCACACGCAAGGGAAACCGGCGACGGCGGCCACAACGGGCTGCGCGGGTTGCTCAGATGGGCGAGCTAGGGAAGGGCGCTGCGGCATGGACGCCGAGGAACCGCGGAGCTTCGGCCTTGAGCAAGGGGAAGAGCGGGAAGGAAAAGCGGGGGCGTCTCGGGGGAAACTGCTGGCCAAGAGACACGGCCGCTGCGGTGGTGGGCGGTGGCAGGGCGCAGGACAGCGAGAAAGGAAAGGAACGGAGAGCCACGCGCGGCCAAGGAACTCGCGCACTCACGCGCGCATGACGGCCACGGCCGGAGCAGCAAGCCCCAACGCGGACCCGAGGAGCGCGGGCGTGCTCACTCGCGGGGACGGCCAGCGTCGGCGGGACGAGGCGAGACCGGCAAAAGTGGCTCGGGCGCGCACGGGTGAGGGGAAGAAAGATGGGGCACCGCTGCAACACGCGTGCGCCAGCAGCAGGGCGACCCGGCGTGGACGACGGCAGGGCGCTGCGGTGGACTGATGCGGCAGTGGTCGAGCGACGACGGCCGGAATCAGTAGAAAAAGGAAGGGAGCGAGAGAGGGAAACAATGCTAGCAGGAGACAGACGAACACGTGGTCCGGTCGCGCGTGGGCTGCCGGGGAAGAAAGGAAAAGACGACGAGCGACAGTGACAACCGTGTGACAAGGCACGCAGGCACGGCAACAGCGATAGAAAATTGAAGGAAAACAGCGTGAAGACTTGGCTCGGCTTGCTTGTGCTGAAAAGTGCATTGATTGCTGCTGCTCCCATTAAAAATTCGGACAAGACCAAGATTAGACATGTGTAGATAAGGTTGTAGAGAGCAGGTCAACTAACACAGTTACATGTTCATTGATTAAATTAGTTTGAACACTATTTGCCAAATAAAACGAACGTCGTAACATAACATTCATGGAACTAAACAAGGGCTAAACACATATATATATATATATATATATATATATATATATATATATATATATACACGATTTACTACTTTACATAAATTGTAACGTCTAGGCACAGCAAAATTTCCACAAACTCGCATTTAAATTGATTCAAAAGCTATATATATATGTATATCGTTCTATTTATGAATGGGTTTTATTTTATTTATAAACGCTGCTTTTCATGCTTAATCTAATAGAATGAACCGTTTGCTATCGATTGGCTCGAATTGCCGTTCGACATTCCTAATTATTTCTACGCCCGGTGTGATTCAACTTGAGCGTTTACTTGAGTCCGCAAACTCAGTCACACTGGATTCGCGTATCGCGTCGAATACGTTTTAAATCAAAAATCCGAGAAACTCGTTTCGAAAACTTTACTGAGGCCTAAATCGCGACGCTAAAAAGGATCGTAACACCGGGGTGTTACATCCACCTACGCAAGGCCCTCTATGGCTTGCGGCAGGCACCGAGGGCGTGGAATGCCAAGCTGGATTCCACGCTAAAGGGGATGAGCTTTGAGCAAAGCCCGCACGAGGCGGCCATCTACCGACGGGGCAGTGAAGGAAATGCTCTGCTGGTGGGTGTCTACGTCGATGACTTGGTGATCACCGGCACCAAGGATGCGGAGGTGGCGGCATTCAAGGAAGAGATGAAGGCCACCTTCCAGATGAGTGACCTGGGACCTCTCTCGTTCTACCTGGGGATCGAGGTGCACCAGGATGACTCCGGGATCACGCTTCGACAGACCGCCTACACCAAGCGCGTCGTTGAGCTAGCTGGGCTCACCGACTGCAACTCAGCTCTCACTCGGATGGAGGAGAGGCTGAAGCTGAGCCACGACAGCACAGCGGAGGAGGTGGACGCTACGCAGTACCGGCGTCTTATGGGGAGCCTTAGCTACCTCGCCCACACATGGCCGGACCTGGCATTCTCCGTCGGCTATGTTAGTCGATTCATGCAGCGGCCGACAACGGAGCACCAGCAGGCTGTGAAGAGGATCATCCGCTACGTTGCGGGGACTCTCGACCACGGCTTCTACTACCCAAGGTGCCCTGGGGCGGCACACTTTGTCGGGTACAGCGATAGCGACCACACCGGTGACATCAACACCAGCAAGAGCACGAGCGGGATCCTCTTCTTCCTCGGCAAATGCATCGTTAGCTGGCAGTCGGTCAAGCAGCAGGTGGTGGCCCTATCCAGCTACGAGGCCAAGTACATAGCGGCCTCCACCGCTTCGACGCAGGCGCTCTGGCTAACTCGACTGCTTGGTGATCTCCTCGGCAGAGACACTAGAGCGGTGGAGCTCAGGGTGGACAGCAAGTCCGCTTTGGCCCTGGCAAAGAACCCCATCTTCCACGAACGCAGCAAGCACGTCGGGTGAGGTACCACTTCATCCGAGGCTGCTTTGAGGAAGGGAACATCAAGGTGAGCTACATCAACACCAAGGACCAGCTTGCGGACCTGCTCACCAAGCCTCTTGGGAGGATCAAGTTCCTTGAGCTCTGCTCCAGGACCGGGATGGTTCAACTTCCCCACAAGACGACGCACAAGACTTAGGGGAGAATGATGGATAAGTCTCTGTGTTGTGTTGGTGATGCAGTCTTTCTTTGTGGGGTTGCTAGTCATTGTTGTCTTCTTTGCCCACAAGGACTATGGGGCATTTCTTTGGTATTCTTCTTTGTCTTTGCCACAAGGACTATTGGTTGTTGCTGCCACAAGGACAGCATCCTTGACTGGCTAGGACAGCATCTTAGCATCTAGGATTAGCATCTATGACAGCATCTTAGACTAGCATCTAGAGGACAACATCTTAGCATCTTAGACTAGCATCTTGGCATATGCTTGGCTGGCTAGCAGCCTATAAATATGTATCCCCAACCTCTCAGGTTGGCATGGCATTTGTGTGAGTTTGTGTGAGAAATAAACCAGAAAATTGCCCCAACTCCTAGTGTCATCATCTCTCGATGAGAGTAAGAATTCTGCTACTACCGAGAGTGAGAGTTCAACAACTAACACACCGAGCTCAAAGACGTTGGCATCTATAACCTTAAGGTCGGCAGGCTAGAGACTATTCGTGCGCTCGGCGAGCATCAGCTATGGCCGCCGCCGGCGTGGCGCCTTCCTTCTTGTGAACACTGCATGGATCCTTCCTAGATTTCCCTTTTTCTGCAGCTAGCTAGCTTGATCATAATTCATAAGTGGGAGTACATCTGTTTTATTTATTGAGTTAAATACACTGGCGGCCCTTTAACTTGTCGGTTTGTGCCACTTTGGTCCATGAAATTACAAACTCGAAAATTCGGCCCCTGAACTTGTCAACTTGTTTACCGAAGGCCCATTTCCTGTCCAATGCGGCCTCTAGTCGACGTGGCAGCGCCAGCGTGTCAGTCGCTTGGTTCTGGCGGGATTTTTGTCGCTCTTGGAAGTTGGCAATCTTGTAGAGGACACCTCAAGTTCTGCTGAAAAGGGCAACTAACCCACTGTTTGCATCTGCCTCTCTCTCCATATATTATGTTATCAAATCAATGCATCTGTCAGTAATCTCAGTAATGCATGTACAACAAGATGATGTTCACAGATCAAACAATGTGAATTCCTCAAGATGGAAAATAGGCCATAGAATTAAAGTATGATTTATTGTCACATATTCGGTGTCCATCAACCATTTCCTAAGGACCTGCAAGTCCTGGATGTAAGCCACTAACTTACTACTATCTTCCTGTGCTTATATGGAAGAACCAAAAGATGTATCTATCTTCCTGTCTGGCTGGAAGAATCAAAAGGAAGCAAAATAATCCTAAGCATCAACTAAGATGTTTTTGTTGTCGCTTTACAAGTTCACATAAACTAGCCAGTGATGATATTGACCTATACAAAAGCATCAGACTACATTACAGACCGCATTCACATGTCTTCAAGCCTTCTTGTCTTGGTAGCTGTGGTCTTTTTGGTCTTGCCTTGCTGATTAGATGGCCCAGTAGGTGCATTGCGCTTCAACCTTGCTCTTCCTACCTTGGTTGCAGTAGTAGGGGGCATTGGCCTTGCAGTTGGTTGGTTGGTGCTGATGAATGTGCAATCTGGCAATGGTTCCTTCTGAAATTGCCTTTTGCTTGTTTGTGAACACTGCATGACAACAAGTTAGGTGGTGTTCATTTCAATTTGAGAAAGTCGACCAAGTTTGTGAGTACTTACATCTGCATACAGTTGAGAAAACAAAGTTCATGTCATTTGTGATAGTAGTGGTTGGCTCCCCTCTCCAAACTGCATGGAAGCCTGCTAAATTTGTGGGACATGAAAGTAGTCCATGGGTATGTGTTTTCAATGACTAGGTCTTGCTTTAATGTTTCTAAGAACCACTCCCAAGTAGCCAGAGACTCAACTTCTACAACTCCAAATGCAATTGGATAAATGCAGTCATTTGGATCAATTCCAATTGCAGTGAGCATTATCCCTCCATGCTTAGTCTTAAGGTGTTAACCATCTAGGCAGATTATAGGTCTACAACCAGCTAGGAAGCCCCTCTTGCAGGCATCCAAAGAAACATATGAGGATGAGAATAGGTTTCCAGTAAGATTAAGATAGACAGTTTACTTCGGGCAGTGAAGTAATTGGGTTTGCCACTATGTCATCTAGTTTATGCCAGGCATGCTATTATCATGATCAAAATAGACAATAAGGTTCTTCACCCTATCAACAATGCCAGTCATCACCAATGTCTCTGAACCTGACTCAATCACCCTAAGTCCACGAGCAAGATCCATTCCAGGAAGCAACCAGTATATCTTCAGAGCATCTATTTTAGGACATTTCAACTCATTAACAAAATCCAAGAACCACAATGAAACTAGGTATCTACCTCGCAATGGTCAAACCAGTTCACTTTCCCATCAATGTAAACCTTATTCGAATCCTGACCAACAAAGAAACCATAGTGGTGCACCTCAACAGTGAACTTGTTCTCAGCATCACCTACGTTGAACCAAATGATGCTCATTACTACTTGATTTATTTAGGCTACACCAGAAACCCTAAACCCAAGCCACCAAAACAAACAAAATTGGCCTACACAAGGAACAAGTACATGCCCACCACCACATCCTAAAGGCACTAATAAGAAGGTTTTGAGCTTCTATTGACTAACCGTAGTCCGGCGGTGGTTCCCCTTCCGGTCGCAGGCACGGCGTCATGCCGCAGATTCACCGCGATCGCGGCAGAAACATGCGCTCCCTAGGTACGTCTCGTCGTTGCTCTTCCGCAGAATCTTGCAAAGTCGCCGACTTTTGCCTCCGTCGCAAGTCGCCTCACCCCCGCCGCCGCCTCGCCCCCAGCACGATGAACTTGAAGAGGAGAAGACAGGATTTTGGAGATTTGACGAGGTGGAGGTGCCTAGATGCATATTGTCACCTGTGTTCGGTATTGAAACGTGCGGCTCACATGCTTTGTCTGCCACGCTGGCGCTGCCACGTCGCCGAATGGGAAATGGGCCTGCGGTGAACAAATTGACAAGTTCAAGGGGGTCATTTTCCACGTTTGCAAGTTCGTGGATCGAAC